CAGAGCGTAACACAAAGGAAAAAGAGAAAAAAGAGTTCTGTCATCTCATTCATGATAAGCATTGGAGTTACAAAAAATGAAGTATTCAAGTCACATTATTACAAAAAAGTATGGAATCGAAGAGTCTGGAGGAGTCCTAGCTAGCTGCACCAGTACTGACAGCCTCCTGGTTGTGCCGGTCCGCCTCCTCGGTCCCGTCAGCCATCTCACCCTCACGAGGTGGGGAATCAAGATGAATAACAGAGTCATTCTCCTCGGGGCCAACGTCAGCAGTGACTATGGGAGATACCACAGTTGACGAATGAGGAGCGGTTAGAGGCTGAACGGTAGGAGGAGCTGTAGTGATCCTAGAGGAAGCAATATCCTGACATTCATCAAATATATGCTCCGCTTCGGTGGGTTCCGGGTCAACATAGACCCCCAGAGGATCAATCCCTAAATCCTTATCGACCTCATCTGGAGTTGAGCTGGTCTGTCCCTCAGCCGGAACTCGGTCGGAGAAACCTTCTCGGAATCCCTGAGCATATCTAAGAGCTTCGACTCTTGAGAATCGAGCATGAAGAGCCAGCATCCCACCGTTCACTCTGCTGATGGTATCAATCAGAGCAGTACGCTTGTCCAGAGCTCTCTTCTCAAAAGCCATCCGAGCAAACTGTTCATCAGCCAGAAGGCGCTGGAGCTCTGCCTTTTCGTCTCTGATTGAATCACGTTCAGTCTGCCAGACACTCTTCTTAAGCTGGAAGGCATCTTTCTCATCCTGAAGAGAGTCATTTTCCTTCTTCAAGACATCTCTTTCTTGTTCGGTTTTTTCAAGCCGAGCCAATACCTCGGTATTCTTGCTGGCGAGAAAGTCGTTTTCCTTATTGGCCACCTCCAGGCTATCAGAGAACTTACGGTCCCTGGCATTCCCTATTTCCACCTGCTTCTGCATAGCCATCATTTCGAACAAAGTCTGCATAGATATACATTAATAATGGTTAAACCGATAGTCTGGTCGGACGAAGGCAAGACCAAATAATATGAGAGGATTCATGAGTTGGAAAATAAAAGTCACCTCCATGGCAGATTAGGGAAAGCGGCTGAACACATCCTTCTTGGATAGACCTTTCGCCGCCTCAAGGTCTTTCAGAGTCCACATGCTCCTATAATACGCCATGGCGGTCTGGCCATCCTTTAGCATGGTCTCGTTCGGCTTCACGAACGTCCCATCCGTTCGGGTGTACCGAGGAGCCCATGGTGGTAAAGTGGGAAGAGAAGGGGAGGTTGAAGCAGAAGCAGAAGCACCAGCTGCAACAGGCCCGGAGGGGGCAGGAGCTCTGACTGGGCGATGCAAGAGAGCACCCGGCCCAGAGACCCGGGTCCTTCTTATAAGAGGTTCCTCCTCAAGGTCGACTCCACCGTCAAGATGAGGCCTTTTGCCTCGTTTTTTGTCCCGAGCGCCCCCAGCGGCAGCAGGGGCAGTAGTGATTTGTGGAGACGCGCTCGGGTTGGTAGCAGGGGTGCTGACAACAGAATCAATAGCCACCGTGCTCGAGATGGTGTCAGAGATGGTGGCTGAGGAAGAGGCTGATGCAGGAGAGGAGGTTGCCCCAGCAGCAGAAGTGGCTGGGGGAGTATTTTTCTTCCTGCCAAAGGATGGAATCTGAAGCCTGCTCATGGTATAGCCGAGGGATGAGAGCGCTAGAAGGTTGTCTGAAGTGAGGAGGTCTGAGCAGGAAGGAATATCGTTCAGAACGTATTTCTTCAAGTAATTACTCCTATCCCTGCAAACACTGTAGCTCAAGTCATCATAAGGTATTCCTAAGGAGCGACATAAGAAAGTACAAAAGCGAGGAACACATGTTTCGCAGGGGCAATCGTTTTTGTGAGATTTGAATTTCTTATATGAGGAAACAGAATAGACGCCAAAGGCGCTCGGGATTGGGTAATCCTCTGCAGCCGGCGAAGACCAGGCCCCACTAATGCCCACGATGTTATCCCTCCAACCCTTTTTAGATTTGATTGTGTCCGTACATATGGACATCTTGTCGATCGGGTAGAGGTGGTAGAATGGCTCGTTAGTTCGGATCTTACTGACTTTATAACACAGAAGAAGATCTATGAGGTCAAGGTCCAGACTTCTGTCACGAATCAACAGTAGCATAACGGATATGATTCTAAAGAAATTGGGGTTTACCTGCAGGGGGGATATCCCCAGTCTATTGAAGACATAATTAAAGAAGGGGTGCAGAGGGAACCTAACGACATTCAGTTGAAGGTTTGAAAATAAAACTTCGCCGGGAAGGAGGCCGGCACCGGTCATAATATTAACATGCTTAGGGCAAACCCTAACTTGGATGTTGTCAGGAAGTCTAAGTCTCATACGAAGAACATCTAGATCTACAACCATGGTGGAAGTGTTTGAAGGATCTAAAAGGGTAAAAAGAAGCCTGCCGAAAGTAAAAAGGAACAAAACTAACCTCTGAGGTAGAAAGCAACAAAGAGCACTGCAAGACCGCTGGAAGAATGACTCTTGAAGGATTTCACCGGAAGAAGTTTAGCACTGTTCTAAAAAGATGAACGAGAGATTTGACTGATGATGGAGACGGTAAAAAGGCATGAAGTGGTATTCTAGAGCCTTATAAAGGCGAGGGGGACCCGAAGGCCGAAGCGTCAGGAAGGCGAGAAATTCATCGAGCCCCGGAACATTGATTCTGGATCTGACCGTCCGTTCCCCCATGTGGATTCCTCGAGCCGTCAACGTCATGATGAGACGCCTTCAATAATTACCCCCTTATTAAACAAGGGGTAATTATGGGGGCAGTTGAGGAGGCCCGAAGTGGCATGGGCCGGATATGACTTGCAAACGCGACATCTGGTCCGTACAGATGGGTCAGGCCCATAGAAAGACACTGCCATATGGGCCGAACGCGAATTAGCCCATCAAAGATGACCAGATCTCATAGAGGAACGGGCCTAGATCCAGCAGTCCATCGACATTTGTAAATATCTATAAATAGGAGAAGTAATGAGTAGAAGGGGGGAGATATTTTTTGGGGTTGAAATGCAAGAGTTTTAGAGAGAGAAAGAGAGGAGGAATCTCTTGCATCTTCAGAGACCAATTCTCTCTGCATCAGCCTGATAGAGGCCGTAGGTAAGCTATTTATGGAAAAACACAGGACAGTCTTTTGGACAGTGAATGCAGCAATTTCATTACATTGCACTGATGTTAGAGAAAATTAGAGCTATGGATGAGAATGCCAAAATCATACATTTACAGTCACGCCTCAGTTTGAAGATTCCACGATACCATTAGTTGTGACCTAATTAAGCCTTCCAAGATTAGGTCACCATTATTGATGCCCTTCTTCTTCACTCTAGAGACGATTGTTTCAGAGAAGGCGAACCTAAGGAAAACGTTTGTTTAGGTGAGCGATGCCCTTCTTCTGATGTATATCTACTGTCCTTTGGACTCTGGTGCCGTAGTGGGTGTAGTTTTGGACCCGACTGCAAATGAGGTATTGTTCGTGATCATCGGCTCATTTAAAACTCGATTTGGGTTCCTCATTAAGCAAACAAGTCCGAGTTCAAATGTGTTTTCTAGAATAGCTTATAAATGAGTTGATCTAAACATACGTTCTAGTATCCAAAGATGGTCGTGCCTATCATGTTGCACTCTCTGTTCTTTCCAATTCGAATAGCTTACCTGTTGTTACAAGTTGTAGCTTCGAGGCGGATTTGGGTCGGATTCTCCCCGCAACTGAAAAAAAGTAAAATTAGAATATTAGAAATGTGGTGTTAAAAAAAAAAAAACTTTCGTAAATAAAAGTTTACTCGTTTACTTTCATAAATATAAGTTTGCGTAGGCTCTTTATATTCAGTAAGATAAGCCGGACCTAGAAAATTTCGTGAAAAGTGGCGCTTTTTAATTTGTGAAGGCAAATTTACATAGTAGATTCATTTTTGTAATTTTAATGGAGTGTTTTTCATAATTTTTTTGAAATGTAAAGTATAAAATACAAAAAAAGAAAAAAAAAAAATTAGTGGCGTGAATTGTAATTTTAGTGGGGCTTCATAAATTTCTAAAAAATTTGAAGTAAAAACTAAATAAAAATTAGTGGGGCAAATTCTAATTTTAGTAGGAGCATCTTTATAAATTTTAAAAAATTTAAGGTATAAAATGAAAATATTGAAAACCTAGCGGGGCGAATGTCCCAACTGGTCCTATATTAGATCCGTGCCTGGATAATCCTTGTGTAGGGCTATGAATATGTTTACAAATTTAAATTTATATAACTTTATGAACATTATGCTCATTAACATAGACTTATGTCAGTTTTTATATATTTAAGAATTCATCATTTTGAGCTCGTCATAAACCCAAATTGAGCCCAAAAATGAATGTGTCAAGTTCGAGCAGCTCGGCTTGATTTGATTCGACTCATTTGCATCCCTTATTTTGGTTAGAAGTAAAAATAAAAAATAAAAAATAATAATAATACTAGAAGGGTGTGCTACGCGGACTGTTCAAAACATATATATAAAGCAATCTTATTAACGCCAAAAGTTTGACTCGAATGAAGAGATGGCGACGGCGACTTTCTCTTTTTAATAATACACGTAATTAGTTCCACAACACTCCTAATATTGAGTATCTAAAAGATATGAACTCTTGGCTCTCTATTTTTTATAAACTCTTCTGCTTTAAAATATTTATTCATTTTTTTTGCTCATGAGTGATCAAGATACCATTATCATATATATATCTTGATCACTCATGAGCAAAAAAAAAAAATCATTCCTATACCATGCACAGTGAGGGTTGGATGTAAAAAAAAAATTGTTACAAAAAAAACCTAGGTCTGCATTGCATACTCCTCAAGTGTAGGTGCAGTTGGCAATTTATTTGCAAACCCAAGTGAAGCAAAAAAAATTAGAGTGGGCATATTAAGTGGTGTCTTCATAGTTCCATACAAAATAATAATATGCAACCTCTACTGGAGGGAGGTAAGAACTCCACATTTCTACCAAAAGAATATATCAAGATCAATCCTTCTGGATCAAAACAAGCTATTCGACCCAATTCTGCAGGTGTTATCGAAGATTTATTACAATCTAAAAATCACAATTTTTATCAGTACCAAAAATAAATAAATAAAAATAAAGCTGTAGGTATTTCCAACAACACAAAAACTGTAATCACCTTTGTGAACACATACTAGGTAGTCAGAACATCATCTGATCCTTGAATGCCTCATGGACATTGCATAACTAGAACAAATTTATATAAACCCCTTCATGCAAAAGTAACCAGCAAATTCTGAACTCCAAGCCCAAACCTCAGTGCAAAATTGCAAAACCAATTGTTCACAGAACCAATATTTCCCATTCAATTATGACATATAGCAGACAAATGAATAAAAGTAGGAGTTTGTCAAGAATGGCCAAATCTGTGGTGACAGAAGCTCTTGATCTACCTTTGTGCCAAACAAGGCCAGTCCAAGAACCCTAGAAAATTTAAATCTGATCTCCCAAACTGTCTGATCCTCTTCTTTTTCCACTTTCATTTTAAGATATCTACTCACCTGGGTCCTCCTGTTATGGATGAGAAGTAGAAGGTCCTTCTCCATTAATAGCCCCTCCATCGGCAGTTGCATCTCCACAATCCACGTCCATCCACGCTGCTTCATCCACAGGCCAATCATCCATTGGGTCCATTTCTTCATTCACTGTGCCATCAGTATGACCCAACTTGAAGTTCCGCAACTGCATATTATACTGAACAAATGTCAGATCAGTCAATCGTTCTTGCTCGATACGATTCCTTCCTTTTGTGAGCAGCTTCTCGGCCAATGTCCTCTTGAGCCCATACTTTGAAGCACCATCGCACGTCTGGCTTTGAACTCGAATGGCCAGTCTCTGCAGTTCAGGACATTCTCCTCCATAGTAGGACCACCAAACAGCTGCAGCCAAATTTTATAGGATACAAAATTAAAGTCTTAATTTCGAAATGATCAAAATAGATAAAGACGTAAACAATCAAGAGGACACAACAGATCTCTGTAACCTGGAGGAACATTCAATCGTTGGTCAATGGCACTTCCCTCGCCAAAGGCACCCTTAGCCTTTCGATACTCATCAATTTGTAGCAAAACCAGATCCTGAACATGTTTGTCTTCCACCATATGGAAAATGGAGCATGATAGGCCACTGAAAACCTCAGTATCAAAGAAGAAATCACTTGAATAAGTAAGAACTGGGTTCAAAAAGTAACCGGCACAATGAAGAGGACTGTGGAGATGCTGGTTCCAAATCTCATCAATTACTTCCCAGAACGGCATGTACTTCGCTTCCTTCTTTCTAAATTCCTCTTTAATTGTTTCCTTAACCTGATCCATCGTTTCATATATTAAACAAAGTTTCGGCTCATCATCCCCATTGATTAATTCCAAAGCACGCACCAGAGGGATAGTTGCCTTCAAAACCATAGTGGCTCCAGACCAGAAAGAGCTGCTCTCCACTAAATTAGCTACTCTTTTCCCTTCCATGCTAGCAGCCCAGATTGAGGTATTCCACTCAGAAGAAACAATCATTTTCTTTAGGTTTGCCTTTTCTGACACAATATTCTCTATAGTCAAGAAGGGCATCGCTGACTTAATGTTGGAGGGCTTAATTAGGTCACAGCCATCGGTGTGATATCTTAGAAGCTCTAAAACTGCCGCATGACCATAAATGAATTTTGTAATGATTTTGGCCTTCTCCAATACCCCTTTAATGACATCTATAGCTCCAATTTTCTCTAACATCAGTGCTATGCAATGAGATGCACTGACTGTCCAGAAGACTGTCCTGTGTTTTTCCATAAAAACCTTGCCTGCAGCCTGCATCCAGGCTGATGCAGAATATGTAACTATTTGTACCACATTCTCAACCCCAACCTCCCCAATAACTTCATCAAGAAACAACTGGAAGGCATCAACATTTCCCACATAGGATGAGATATCAAATGAACGAAGATAAATAGGTCCTTGTGGGCAATCAACTAGAACATTGATCAGATCTTGACCCTTCCCATCGATCCATCCGTCCAGTATAACGCTGCACCCAGTGCTTTTCCATGAATCTCTGATCTTCTTCACATACTGCTGCATCTCTTTTACTTCTTCCTGAAGGATCCACCCTTTCAACCCCTGACAAGTGGGGATCTTAAATCCAGCTTCACCACAAGCTAGAGTGGCGTTAATCATTTTCTGGAAGCTAAGAGATTTCGCAACACGAAAATTAATGCCAGATTCACAGAAGAATCTACCAATGCATTTTTGAGCTTCCCGTGACAACGGACTTTCTATTGCATTGGTAGCTGCTAGGGAACCTATTCTTCCCTCAGAAAAAGAAACAGATGCCCTCTCACTGTTTTTTGATGTAGAGTTCTCCTTAGCCCGCTTTTTGCTCCCACATCCAACTGTTTGAGTGGTTTCCAATGTATTACCATCACCATTCGAGTAAGGAGACCAATTCCTCTTCCAAGGAAGGTTTGGGTGGCGGAGCTCCCCGACTTCCTTGCTCAAGTTTCCTCTTTTCGATTCAAAGAGCTTGTTTCTCATTAGTTCCTTCACCACTGCAGGAACTTCCATACAAGGAGATACATCTCCCCTTATGCCTCCTAAATGGTAACGAAGGCGGCTGAAGCCACTGCTTATAACTTTATCACAATAGTTGCATTTAACTCTTCCCTTTTGCCCATCAAGAGCCATACCGTGATCATGAACATCAATGGAGACTTCATTCGCAGCCATTTTTATTAAATGGATCCGGAAGCCCTAAATAGGTGGTAATCAATCCTACGGTAGAGAATGTATTGCAAAACTGACCAATCACCTTCTTTTTCCTTTTGTTTTTACCTCTTCTTTCTTCCCCAAGGGTTATTGCTCCTCACCAAGTAATACTATAACCAACTCCTGTACTTTTATACTGATCTAAACTAATTTTAGTGATGTGAATGAACAATTGAACTAGCCAAAAATCATGAAAAGCCCATGTATGAGTAAAGCATTTCCACTAAGGTAGGACTGCAAACAGTTGCGAGCTCTAGAATTTGGTCCTGAAAAGTCAAATAATTTACAACATAAAAAACAGAGGTTTACACAGAGTAGTTCAGCCATAGTCCACCGAGTTCAACCATTGACATCATAAATAATTTACATATGAATATATATATATATATGGAAGAAAAAAGGCGCAATAAGTAATGTATTTCAAACAAAATATATAAAATCACAATAAAGAAAACAGAGGCAATATAGAAAATCTACAATATCACAACTGTGATCTTAATGAAAAAAAAATGCAATGCACCAACAATGATAAATGCATTCCCTATACATACTAACATAATAAATCCTTCTAAACTCTAATATTTCAAGATGCAGAATTATAATCAATGGCATGGGTTGCAATCACATGCACGTTTTTTTTTTTCCCTAGTTAATCACATGCACTTCAATACTACTGTTTCAAAATGTTTTCAACAAAATAAAGAGCATTGATAAATTAATCCAAAATCTTACACAAGGAACTCAAAGAAAAAATACTGCGTGTGCAATTCATAACTAGTTCATCAGAAAGAAAGCAAAATAAGAAGAGGACGATAACAACAACAACAAACAAAGCCTTGTCCCAACTACTTGGGGCAGGCTACATGCCATTCCACTCTATTTAAGGTCATAACAGTCAACCATATTTTATCATATCCTTCATTACTAACTCTACCCACGTAAATTTTGGAATTCCCCTTCGCCTAACATTACCCTCAATGTGGACCATGTCACTCTTCCTAACAGGCGCAGTTAAAGGTCTTCTATGCACATCCAATCTAAACCGGTTTTCTCTCATTTTATCTCCAATTGGTGCTACTTCAATGAAGCAAATAGAGATAAACAAAAACTTTTTACAATAGTAAGAAAGACTAGAATTACTCCAATCACCATTGGAGCCTAGATTTCTATAGAAAAATCTGGGAAAAGCCTTAAGAGTAGTGAATAATCTAAAAATATCTCAAAATTATATTGATTTAAGATTTGTTACAACAGAGGGAGACAGAGTGTTGTTCCCTCATATGATATGACTACTAATGACTCTTGATTTCTCCTAGAATGCCTTTCAGAATCCCCACACAGCATTAGTAACATTTTACAACTTCCCTAGGCTAAAACTTAGTAGTTTCAAACCTTATTTAATAACTTATCCTCAAACAAGGAAAAATCTTGACTTCATTAAACAACAAGACACTTTCCATGGCACCATTCTTTATTTGCATCATTCAACCATCTGACGAATGTGTTCACTCTAAGGTCTTCTCTGCACATGTCCAAAATAAGACGAGGACAATTACAAAATACACACAAAAGGATGACATGAGAGCGTATTGGAGACTTGGAAGAACACCCAACTGTACTTCAACACAAATTTAGAACAGACTTATATTTATACTAAAATAAAATAAAAAATATCTTTAATGGGATCAAATTCCAGATAATTGCTATCACAAAAAAAAAATCAGATTTTCTTTCGTTGAAGAATAATCTAGAAGAATGCATTATGAAACCAAAGGAGACCAAAACAGTAAGGCATGTAACCAAGATTAATTTTCTAGTTTAATCCGGGAACAACATTTTGCTCCTGAAGTTACCTACCTTTCAAATAGCCTCCTAGACCTTTTTTTTATCCTTTCCTAATAAATCCACGCCCTCCTTAATTACTTTTATGATTAGGTATCCCTTTTTTTATATTAGTTGTTAACGAACTGAAATTGAGTAAACAGAAAAGAGGATGATCATCACCTAAGGTGTGTATAGGCTGTGACAAGGCATACATTGTCTACTTGTAACATCCACAAAACTCTAAATTTAACAGACAAAATTCTTCTGGTTCAGATCAGATGAGATGTCTCAACTCATACATGATGACAAACAAGTGAACAAGAAAAAGGTAAGTTGTACTTTATACAAAGGTTTGGGACCTTTCATTGATTTGAATTTGAATTTTATATTCCTATAGGTTAGTTTACTTCAGAATCTGTTAGACATGGATTAGAGTGGTGCTTAATGGACTATATAATAGGTCAATGTATGTTACTGAATCTATATATGAGGCTTTTAGCAGGTGCAGAATAGTCTTACTACTGAAAGTTCAAACAATTTCTCTCTTTATCTAACACTTACAACCAGCACCGCAAACCCATAACAAATAAAATTAAAAATAATAATAATGATATGAAGTTAATGCTCAGAGTTTACTGTTACAGTGCTGGAACAATTCAGGAATGACCCTAATATGCACTTATTTACATTCCATTTATCTGACCAAGCCCACATCAACCCTTACCTTTCTTCCTAACTTTCTCACCTTTAGTTCAACACATAAATTATAAAATTAGTTGGTATATAGAATTTTCAGTGAAACCAAATTTCTGAAATTCTTATGGTTATCACTTGTAGACCAAACCAATTACATCCCTTTTATCAACAGCTCCTACAATCTATCTTCCCCCTATTGTTTAAGTCATAAACCTACAGCATTACAGAACATTAGCCCACCATAAACTAAACCATATAAGGTATTCTCCATGTTTTCAAAAGTTATCGTGCATCAATCAACAGTAAGCTCTTTTCATTATTTATCATCTTCCACTTACTTACTTTTCCAACATTTGTACTGCTCAAAGAACCAAATGTCACCCTAAACCAGTGCTTTTTCTAACCCAACGAAATCTTTGAGTACCTACAAAAGGTATTTTACTCTTTCTTCTTAAGGAGTTGTCCTCCATTTTCTTGCATTATGACAAATTTTACTCAGAAGCTTAATGGCACCAAAGCTTCCAGCTAAGATGAAATGATGAAGCACGATGTCTCTACCACCATACAAATTGAAAACAACACCTATGTTTCAGTAGTGACTTAACCAAAAAGGTCAGGATGCCGGATTTTTTGCAAGATCTAATCAAAATGTATATTTCGACCAGCGGCCATGCATGAATGATATCCTTTTTCATCTTAAAAAACCAAGAGGTTATTTCAGTCATTATTTAAATGATTTTCATTCGAGAAATCACACAAGTTTCTGGATACAGTGACGGGATTGGGCATACTAATTACATGGGACAACCAAGTGTTCACCTAGGGGCCTTTACTTTGAAATTACTGCTTGCAATATGGTGATGGGATTGGAATTCATTATATTGAGTTTCTACCAACAGGATGTGCATGTTATTTTGATTATATAGAGATTTTAAACAGGATGGGATCCTTCTGATTCACAATCACTGATTGTTCTAGAAGGTAACGAATTTTGAAGCACCAGATTTTCAATATTGATGAGATTCTAACATGGGTTGTGGATTTGAAACATATGGATCTAGATATTGATGAACAAATAAGTTATTCAACCATCTATTACATGTAATCTTCATAATGCTCAAGAAAGGTCAAATGTTTCAAATAATTTGCAAGGTTTCAATCAATCATTATCTCATTAACAAACTACAACTTTGCTTCAAGATGAGGTATCCATACACAGAGAAGGGAAAAAAAAGGAAAACAAAACAAAAAAAACGAAAAAAAAACATAAAAAATCTCACAGTTCCAATGTTTCTAAATAAAGCTTTTACACATAATTATACACACTAAGGAACTTTACACGCAGGTGATGCAAATAGTTTCTCCCATACCATATAATTAAAATAAGATTTCTTGATGCTCACAATAAAGAAACTGCTCTTAAATAGTATAAAACAAGCACACATAAAACAAAACCAAAACCAAAAGCTAAATATTTTCTTTCTATTGTGGAGGATGTGTGGGCATAACACCGCATGACAAAGCCTTCGTCAGTAATTATTTCTCAGCCGAACTTACTGCACGAGATTTTCTGCACACATCACAGTGTCATCATCCATGCATTGAACTTTCTCACATTGGACCTTCCATTATAGCTTCGTCATGACATTTAATCATAAATTCCCTCAGTAAGATTACAGAAGCCCAAATACTACGTAATCATTGATCCATTATTTACTTTATGAAGGTTGAAAATCCAAAGGCCTGTGATTCTATCAAGATCATTATTTCAACTGAAAATTGATGACACAGAATACATTTAAGAATGCTAATTTGGAAAAGAATCAACGACTTGACCAAAAGACATTAAGGATTTCTCATGGAATAATAAATAGGTTCTAATCAGATCAGAGTTAATCAAGTTTTCTACTCTTCTTTGTTTTCTTTTTTTGCATTACCTTTCATAATCACTAATTTAGAATTAAGCATGAGAAACTAAGAGACTGTTACATTGTCAAGGAGAGTAAAATTAAAGTCAAGTGAGGCAGTTCGTTTCCCTATAAAGAAAGCATGCATTGAAGATTTCCCTGAAAGAGCAGTCATTTAAAAATGAAAACAATCTTAGTTTTTTTTTTTGTCTTCTAAATAATGGTATGGACTTCTTGACGCCTGAAAGAACTACAAAAGTCAGACACATAGATATGGGTAAAAGTTTTGACATTGTTTATTTATTGGTAAATTTTTTTTTTTACTGCAATACCAAAAGAGCTGGAAAAAAGAAAAAAGAAAAAAGAAAAAAAAAAAGAGGGAAAAGAAAAGGAGATTCTAAGGAACAGAAAGATAAAGCAGATAAATTTCAGAGGCCATAGCAACTTGACAGAGATTTCCTTTCTAAGATCACAATCAGAGCGCGCGCGCACACACACACACATATGTACTGTAACCATTCAGACAGATTCACAAGATCAAGAAATAATGATAAACATTTTAATAGCTGAACTAAATTGGAATTGGAGAGAAGAAAAAAATAAAGATTAAAAGGAAGACGGAGGCTTTACCTTGTCAGACTGTGGGGTAAGGTAACAACTAACCCAGCAGTAGAATAGAAGCAAAGAAGAAGAGGGGGCCTGTCTCAGCACTGTTAATTTAGGTTGCCATATGTTTTTATATCATCAGCTATGACAGAAATAAAATTGCACCCGACTCATTGGATAGAGACGACGTTTGCTATTATTATGACAAATATGATGCCCATTCTTTATTCTCTGTGTGTGCGCACGTGGCAGTCAGCCTGTGGGCAAAAGAACTAGAACTGGTAGTGGTAAGAAGTGATAGAGTAGTAATGTTCTAGTTGGTTAGATTCCTCCCTTTTTTAGAGCTCCGACATGTGCTGGACATTTTTTTGGTAAGTAAAAATATATTAGAAAAACGTTCAAAAGGGGAACGTGTCCCTAATACAAGAATAAAAAAGGTCTAAGGACCAATGGAATCCAAGAGATCAAAGAAATCATCAATCGAGGAACAAGCACTTCCTCTTACATAAGAGAACAAAGAATAAAGAATATGAATTTTTAAAGTAGCTAAAGACAATTCTTTTCCTTCAAAGGATCTGTTATTCCTTTCATGCCACAAGCACCACCAGACACAATGTGGAACAATCTTCCAATAATCCCGAGCTTGTTCTTTGACAGGACACCTTGTTCTTTGAGAGGAGTGCTTAGGCATGACCCAAAGAACGCCAAACATGCTAAAAATAAAACTCCAACAATCAAACGCCACAGGACAATGCAAAAGAATGTGGTCCACGGATTCACTATCAGCTTTACATAAACAACACCAATTAACAATGATGTTGCCTCTCTTTCTCAAATTGTCCAATGTCAAAATCTTCCCCAATGCTGGACATATGACGTCTCAGATGCCTATTCCCACCTCAACCCGCAGCCCGACCACAAACTCATGCTTCCGTAAACACACGACTTTCCTACTGTTTCCCCACATCAGGGCATAAATATTGCACCAATTGACATCACTCAATTAATCTATCCCTTCCCACTTGCAGGAGAGAAAGAAAAGAGAAGGAGTGATAGAATTGTCCCTCACATGATGGTGGAATGATGATTGATGATGACGACTATGACGATGCTGAGGTCACCTCAGTCCTACGTACAGAGAGTGTACCGAAAAAAGAAAATTAAAAAAGAAATGTAAAAGAGAGAGAGAGAGACAGAGAGAGAGAGAGAGAGGGATTGATAGGTCATTGAATACAAGGGTACCGCCAAATATTGAGGACAAATCCAGGTTAGGCCAATCTGAGGTCAAGTGAAGAAGGAAAAAGAAATACTAATAGCGGCTTTGAAAAGTCCATAGTAAATGCTTTTTGCCAAATGCCTTTAATGTCAATTAATTGTTGTTAGTTTACAAGTTCACAAATTTTACCAAAGCATTAATGCAACCAACGGCCACATTTATAAATGCTGAATCCTCCCAAATTTTTCTCCAATTAATTTATGTTTCTTGGTTTGGAAAAATAAAAGAGAAGGAAACTTTTCCATCCAAACATCCAATTTTGCCACCAATCAGGCACCTTTGTTTCTCATTTCAAAATTCTATAACTCTAGTAGCTGACTAGTCTAAAACAACAAATACTTAGACAACCCATAATTTGCTTGTTTGACTGTACTCTGAGAGGGATGGAATTGAAAAAGAGTAATGCTACTGAAGTACCATTTTCAGTAGGTAAATTCTCCTTAAGTTGCTTACCTTTCAAATAGGCTTCTTAGCGTTTAAAAATGAATAAATCTAATGGCCTCAACTTTTACTTTCTAATAAACTGGACTCTTTGGGAAGCAATGTATAGGATTGTAAGTTTCTCCTTTAAAGGAAGGAATTGAAATAGAAAAAACAAAGGAAAATGATATTTTAGTTCCTAAGATTCATAAATTTTGTTAAACGGAATAACTTTTATAGTGCTAATATTCTACAAAACCCAAAACTCTTCCTGATCTAGGCAGGTGACATGCCTTGACATACCTAATGCCAAGAATAAGAACAAATAAGAGGCAAGTTAAATTCATGCCAAGAGCAAGTGGGACCTTAAGTAGTCATGTATTGGTATAATTTGAGTCTTCATTTTATATTTCCATAGGTTAATTTACTTCTTGGTAAATTTAAAGTTTGTCAAACATAGGCTTCAGTGGTAATTCATGGGCTTTATAACGAGTCAGTTTGTGCTACTGGGTCAATAAATGTAGCTTTTAGTAGGTCTATAATAATCCTGATAGTCAAAGTTGTTTCAACTCTTCCCTTCATCAAATAAGTATTCCTAGGAACACAAACCTACAAAAAACCCCAAGTCAATCTTTACTTTATGAAGGTAGAAATTTGCAAAAGGTCTAGAAATGGCAATCCATTAAGGTCATTATTTAAAAAAATAAAAAATCAATGACACGCTCAAATGAAGAATGCTAATCATAAGACATTCACGATTTCTTATGAAGCAAATAGATGATCAGACCACTCGGTGAATCAGGTTTTCTAAATTTTTCCCCTTCTTAAATGGGGCTTTAGGTTAAGAATTCGAAACAAAGGAGACTAGGAGGATGATCATTAAGGAGAGTAGCACAAAAGAGGCTATTGCCTTCTCAAGGCAGCATAGATGGAAGAGTAACCCGGAGATCGGTCAGTTAAAATTGAAGTTTGGTCAAAAATAGCAGTTTTGACATTCTGATGCCTGAAAGAACTACAATAGATAGAATACGGTAAAAGCATCTAAGACTATTTATTTACTTATATATTTTACTTCTATTCAGAATTTGTAATGCAATACCCAAAGCAAAAAAAAAAAAAAAAAATGAAAGAAAGAAAAGAAAAGGAGGGTTTTAAAAACACAACGAGATAACTAATAAGACAGATCACTTGCAGAATACAAAGACATACATAGCCATTCAAATAGGTTCAGGAAATCAAACACAGATAAAAAGGAAAAGAAAGAGGCTTTACCTCAGATAGTGGGGGTGAGGTATAACCAAGCAGGCAAGCTTGTTTCACTAGTGAATGGTGATTTGCACCTTAAGAACACCACCTACAACAAAAACAATAGACGGAAAACAAAGAATTAGAACAGAAGCAAAGAGGAAGAGGAGATTTGTCTGAGGACTGTGGACTAGGGTTGCCAATTGTATTTTGTAGATTTATATTCGTATCATCGGTTACAATGGAAGTAAAATCGCACTCATGTGATTTGGATAGAGATGTCATAATTATGTAATGACAAATATGGTGCCGTTTCTCTCCCTCTCTCTCTCTCTCTGAGTCAAGTCTGTGGGCCAAACCTAGTAGTAATCTCTCTCTCTCTCTCTCTCTCTCTCGGAGTCAAGTCTGTGGGCCAAAAAACTAGTAGTAATGGTGGTGGTAAGAAGTGATAGATAAGTAACGCCCATTTGCTTAAAATCCGTGGTGGTAAGAGGAAATAAAGAGGTAACGCAAATTAGCTAAAACTCCTCCTTCCTCCAGTGCTCTGACGTGTGCTAAACAAATGTCTCATATGTCCATCGCCACCTAAATCCCACCCTAAACAGACACACATGGTTCCTCGAAGCTGTGGCTTTTCTATCATCGGTTACAATGGAAGTAAAACTGCACTCGTGATTTGGATACAGATGTCATTATTATGTAATGACAAATGTGGTGCCGTCTCTCTCTCTCTCTCTCTGAGTCAAGTCTGTGGGGGCAAAAAACAAGTAGTGGTGGTGGTATGAAGCGATAGAGAGATAATACCCATTTGCTTAAACTCCTTACACCTCCAGAGGTATGACGTGTGCTAAACAGATGATGTCTCAGATGTTCATTGCCACCTAAATCCCACCCCCAAACAAACACACATGGTTTCTTAAAGATGTGGCTTTTCTAGTGTTCCCATCTGGGTAGTGTCCGCATCTTCCAATCAGGCTGTCCCATGTCAGGGCATAAGGATTGCCCCTTTGACGTCTCTATATTCATCCCCTCCCTTACCACATCCAAGAGAGGGAGGAGAGGAGATTGAATGACATAATTGCCCCTCACACAATGATGAATTGATGACAGATGATGATGATGACAACGTGATCTGGACTCCTGACTGCAAAGCAAGTGGAAAAAAAAAAAAAAAAAAAAAAAAAAGGGTAGGTCATTGTTCACAAAGTCACAACCAAGTGTGAGGACAACTCAGCGATGTCATGCCAGGTTGAGATGGGAGCCAAAAAGGTTTAAAAAAATAAAAAAAGAAAAAAAAACACTATAGCAGTTTCGGAAAGGCTGCCAGTAATACTTTGAGCTGAGTGCCCTTAACATTAACCAAATCAGTAACTTTGAATCCTTTACAACTTCATTAGCGTTACTGAAGTGTTTCTACATCCAATTACGACATTTATAATTGGTGAATCCTATCAAAATCTATCCAACCATTTTGCTTTCTTGTTTGGAAAAAGAGAAGAGAGCAAAGATCTCATTCTATTTATTGAAATATCAAATTTTATCCCCAATTCAGGACATTTTTGTTTTCCATATTTAAATTCCAGTGGTTGACTTGTCTGAGCAACAAAAAATCAAAACCTTTGCAACCATAATTCACATGTTTCACTGTGTTCTAGCAAGAAGGATGGACTTGAAATAGAGTAAGCTAGTGTTTCTCCTGAAGTAATATCCTTAATAGGTCACTTGCACCTGAAGTTGGTTACCTTTCAAAGGCCGCCTTAACTTTTAATTGATATATAGCCTCCTAAATGACTTCTAATTAAGTAGCCATTTTGGAAAGCTATATAAAGGCTTCTAAGTATCTCCTTTTAAGGAATTAACACATTTAGGTTGTGAGAAGCATACATGCTCTACTGGTAATAATATTCCACAAAACTTTAAATCAAGAGACGGAATTGTTATTGTTTAGTCAGGTAAAATGCCTCACGCTACCTGATTCAGAGCACGTGAACAAGAAAAAGGGCAAGTTAAATTTCATACCAAGTGCAATTGGGATCTTATGAAATCATGTCATGGTATAATTTGAGATATCATTATGTTTCTATAGGTTAGTTTACTTTTTGGTAATTTAAATTTGTTTGGGCTTATTGGTGGTCAACTTATATTATTGAGTCTACATATGTGCCTTTTTACAGGTCTAGAATAGTATTTCATACCAAATTAATGTTCGGAGCTTACTCTTCTACAGTGCATGAAACTTCAACAAACTAATTTTCCATATTAATGGCCGTTAATATCATTCAGTGGTGTGGAAGTAACTTAATTGGCCATCTGCTTGTTCACTTTTCAAATAACCTCAACTTTATTTTGATAAATTAAATAGCTGCCTTAATTATTTTCTAAGTAAGTAGCCTTTTTGGACAGTTACAGAAAGGATGATAAGTTTCCCTTTTTGAGGAAGCAATGGAAATAGTGCAAATAAATAAAAGGATAGTTTAGCTCCTAAGGTGCATTTAGGTTGTGAGAAGGCATATTTTCTCTAATGGTTGCATTCCAAAAACCCTAAATCAAGAAGACCCTTCTGTTCTAGTCAAGTGAGATGCCTTAACCAAGTTGATGCCGAGCATCATATGAACAAAAAAAGTGCAGGTTAAATTTCATGGCAAGAGCAATGAAATACGTTAGACATGGACTGTAGTGGCAATTCATTGGCTGTAGAAGGGATCAATTTATGTTGTTGGTGTCTATTAAGGCTTTACTAGGTCTAGAATGGTCTCGTTAGTCAAAGTTTGAACAAATCTTCCATCATCAAAGGCTTAATCCTTATAACCCTTAACACACACACACACACACAGACACAGAGGACCAAAGTAATGCTCAAAACTAAGTACCTATAAAGCACGGACATGTGTGGACAAAATTGAAACGACATGATAACCATAAGCCAATAAGAAAAAATTCTTAATATACAAGACAAGATATGGCAACGACACAAAAAATATATTTACATGTATATTTTGTATGTATATACATATATATATAAATCAAGTATTCCTTTACAGATCTAAAATTATAATAGTTTGTCATGTTATATCCATATATTATAAATAACGTTATGACTGTCTAACTTACAATATTAAATAAGGGCACGGAAAAAATAAAAGTGATGCTGCATGGACATGGACTTCGAAAATAATAAGACATGATATGTTCTCATTAGATCTCTCAATTCTTCTTACCCGAGAAAGACAAAGTATTTGAAACACTTACCATGCTTTTATTTTACTATACCAGAAATATGGTATTATAATGTTTCGATGTGTCAGGAAGTGTTGTCAAGTATTTGAAAAGTACTAGATACAAGTTTGAAATTACCAAAAAAAAAAATCAAATTATAGATACGTTAAGAAGTTAATGACACCTACCAACGAGTATTCGAGGAGCATCGGGCCTATTGGAATCTAATACAAATACGATAAAGATACCACTCCCTTAGAGAATTATTTGTGTTTCATAGGAGCTCACTATTTAGATTGCTGGAACAACTATCTCACAACTCTGATCCACCCAACCCTCATCAAGCCTAACCTTTTTCCGCACTTTTTTATTTTACTATAGTTTAACACCCTCACTTTCTAATTAGTTGGGATGCAGAATTTTAGGCAAAACCAATTTTTTGAAATGATAGAAACCTATCACTTGTAAACCAAGCCAATTCCTAAACTTACATCTACTACTCCAACAATATTTTTTCAACCGTTTTTAAATCATAGATCTTAAACCACTAGAAACTTTAGCCCATACGACAAAACTAAATAAGCACATAGTGTTATACTAAGTTTTTGAGAGCAATCTTCCATGATAATTGCAGTAAGCATAATGTTTCCATTATCCATTATCTTCCAATCCACTTATTTTTACTAGGTTTTTCCTACTCTGAACCAAAAAGTAACCCCTAAACCGAATACTTTCTTTGACCCAAAATATATCCTTCGAAAGATTAATGATTTACTTGTTCATCATGAAGAGACAACAAGTGGCTTCACATCCCTAATTTATAGGATTTTCATTCAAGTAATAAAATGAGTTTTCAAATACAGTTATGCGATCCAGCATGCTCTTTACTTGGGACATACAAGTTTCCAACTACGTAGGGGCCTTTATTTGGAGAATATTTTTTCCCCATACAGTGAATGGGATTGGAACTCCAACAGCTAACCAACAATAGAGTGTGCAAAATAGGTAATAGTTCTATTTTTGAATGAAAGGGTCATAGATATTTATGAAATTTGTTCCCATAGGCTAGAGGTTCGAATAATATGTCACCAGATGCTAGATATTAGTGAATAACAAATGGATTCAACCATCTGTTGCAAACTTGCACGTAATCTTCATAGTGCTCGAAATAGATAAAAAAAAAAAAAAAAAAAAAAAAAGTTCAGTAATTTGACTTCCAAAGTTTTAATCAATCATGATCTTAGTTGAGCAGACTCTACAATTTTGCTTCAAGATGTGGTCTCCACGATGATTAGGAAATTCCCATTCGAATTCCAATATTTCCAAAGAAGATCAGATATGATTTAGCTAAGATTGCTCCTTGATTCTCACTGTGAAAAATTGCTCTTAATTAGGATGAGACGATTGCAGAAAATAGACAAAGAAAAAGAAAAGCATGTCCTTCCAAGTTTGAAGGATGGGTGGGTATTGTTAGAGAATTAAAATATTAAAGTTACATCCTCTCTAACAGCTTACATCCTCTCTAACAGCTTAAGCTTTTAAGTAAATGGTGGTTAACATGGTATGTTCAAAGTACCGTCATCATAGTAATTATAATTAAGACACGTGTTTGACAAAAAGAATGCCACACGTGAGAGAAACGTGTCAGAGGATTTAAAAGTTAAAGTCACACACTCTCTAAAAACTTAAACTTAGAATAGGTGGTGATTAATAGGTATAACATTGTGCGAAAAAACATCTGTCAGTAAGTGTTTCACAGCCCAACTTCTAAAAATTAAGTTCACATATTAAAGTTCCATGCATTGAACTTCCTGACATTAAACATCCATATCATTGCTTTGCCTTGACATAAATCCACATAATTTTCCATTGTAAGATTAGCAATTTTCTATACCCGGTAAAAGATTTGTCTATGGTTCACTTCATACCAAGTTTAAATCCAAAGGCCTAGAAATGGGAATCTATCAAAATCATTATTTTAAAAAAATATCGATGACCTAATTAACACAATCAATGACTTAAGAAAAAGGCATACAGGTATTCTCATGAAGCAAATAGGTTCTAACTATACCAAATCATTTTCTCGGTCGAGTATGATACATTGATAATACTATAGCATGGGGGGTGAAACATTATCATCATCCTTTCCTTGCCTTGATCCCAATCAAATGGGGTGTTCCTCCTTCAATTCTTTCATATACTAAGTTATGCATTTTCTAATATCCTTTTTTCAAAGATATATTCTTGTTACTTTTACTTCATCTCATACTAGTTTTTTGTATTCATTGACACTCACCTATTGCTTCAACAAGGTTTTTTTTAAAATATATATATATATATATATATATATATATATATAATAAATAAAACAATTAAAGGTACATCTACTGGTCTACGTTATATATGTCCATACTACCTTTCTTTATCTTAGTATATCACTAATAGGTGCCACCTCCAACTTCGTCTAATTTATCCGTATGTCCATTCTTGTTTCAGTAATATCAATCTAGTGAGTGGCCTCTAGAATAACATGAAACTCATGTGAGGTATGTTATTGCCATCTAGAGGAAGCATTCAAGGTAGATTTCCACCTAAAGAGCAATCATTTAAAGCACTTTCGTACTTCGGGCCCGTGCCATTGTAATGAAAAAACGGTTTAATCACTAGAGCTGTCATAAAAAAAAAATTAATAAAAAAATATGTTGGTTATTTGTTGATACGTTATAAAAAGTACTTTTCACAATTAAACTACTTTTTAATTTATTTGGTAAATATTGTTTAAAACACCTCTATTAGTAATTTTACAATAATGTATTCTAATGGAGTGTTATTATATATGATAATAGTAGGACCTTATAAAAAAGGATAAAATTATTTTTATAAAAAATAAAATAGTCTGACGAAAAAGAGCTGCCTACAAAGCATTTCTTAAGCGGTTCAACAGCAATCCCAATCTCGCAGTTAAAATAATGCTGTTCTTACCAGAAAGAACTGCAAAAATCCTACACAGATAAGTGGGTAAAAACATTTAAAGTGATTGATTGATTGATAATGCTTTTATATAATTGTTGTAATGCAACTCCCAGCGCCACCTTTTTTTTTTTTTAATCTTTATTGAAAGAGAGAGAGGGTATAAAAAGAGAACGTGAAAAGACTAGTTATTTTCAGAGGGCACGTCAACATGAGCGAGAAAATACCATTCTGGGATCACATTCACAATAGAGAGGAAAAAAAATTGAAAGTAATAATAATAATAATACAATAGAGGGAAAAAAAAAAAAGACAGAGGCTTTACCTTGTGAGACAGTGGGACTAGGTAATGAAGGGCTCGTTAAGAATAGCAGAGCAGTACTGATAAACTACTATACATCACGATTTCAAATGCAATTATAAACGCGTGAGTGTAATTCTTCCTTTCCTTTCTTTTTTTTCTTTTCTTTTCTTTTCTTTTCCGTGTCCGATGGGGCTGACCGCTTTGACATCACTCCTTCCTCCTTCGTTCCAGTGATAACCACATCCCATAGAGAAACAGGTAATAAATGACATAATTGCCCCTAGCGCAACGATCTGTTGACGATGCAGAGATTCCTCTCCTCTCCTGTGTCCTCGTCCTCTTGACTGCAATGAAAGAGAGAGAGAATGACATACTTTGGACAGAAGGATCGATGGGAAGGGAAAACTGATCAATGCTCCAGTCGCCCACAAGGCCCTATTTATCTTTGGTCATTTGATATTTCAGAGTATGTTGGAAATGTTGACGCCTTCCAGTTGTTTCTTGATGAAGTTATTGGAGGAGGTTGGGGTTGAGAATGTGGTACAAATCGTTGCATATTCTGTATTAGCCTGGATGGAGGCCACAGGTAAGCAATTTGTGGAAAAGGACAGGACAGTCTTTTGGAGAGTGAGTGCAGTGCCATCTCATTGCAATTGCATAGCATTAATGTTAGAGAAAATTGGAGCTATGGATCTTATTAAAGGGGTTATTGGAGAAGGCCAAAATCATTACAAATTTCATTCCCTTAGAGAATTATTTGTGCTTCATAGGAGCTCACTATTTACAAAGCTGGAGCAACTATCTCACAACTCTATTCCACCCAACCCTCATCAAGAATAACCTTTCCCCCCACTTTTTTTACTTTAGTTTAACAACCAAACTCTATAATTAGTCGGGATGCAGAATCTTCAGCAAAACAAATTTTTTGAATTGATAGAAAACCATCAATTGTATGCCAAGCCAATTCCTAAGCTACCGTCTACACCTCCTACAATATGTTTCCACCGCTTTATTAAATCATAAATCTCAAAGAACTAGAAACCTTAGCCCATACCACAGCACTAAATAGCACATAGTGTTGTACTAAGTTTTTAAGAGCAATCTTCCATGACAGCTGCAGTAGGCATAATATTTTCTTTATCCATTATCTTCCACTCCGCTTATCTTTTCAAGGTAGTCCCTGCTCTTAACCAAAACAGTGACCCCTAAACCGAATAGTATCTTTGACCCAAAATATATATGGTGACAAGATCAATGATTTACTATTTCATCATGGAGAGACAACAAGTGGCTTCACATTTCTAATTCATAAGATTTTCATTCGAGTAATTAAATGGGTTTTCAAATACAGTTACGCAATTCAGCATGCTCTTTACTTTGGGACAAACAAGTTTCTAAGCATCTAGGGTCCTTAATTTGGAGAATATTTTTTTCTGAAATAGTGAATGGGATTGGGACTCCAATAGCTAGCCAACAATGGGATGTGCATGGTAGGTAATAGTTCTATTTTGAAGCATAGAGTTATAGATATTAATGAAATTTGTTCCCATAGGCTAGAGGTTCAAATCATATGTCACCAGATGAAAGATATTAGTGACATAACAAATGGATTCTACAATCTGTTTCACGTGATCTTCATAGTGCTCAAAATAGATTAAAAAGTTTAAATAATTTGAATTGCAATGTTTCAATCAATCATGATCTCAGTTGAGTAGACTCTACAACTTTGCTTCGAGATGTGGTCTCCTCGAGTTTCCAAAGAAGATCAGGTATGATTAGGCTAAGATTGCTCCCTGATTCTCACTATGAAAGATTGTACTTAATTAGCATGAAATGATTGCACAAAATAGACAAAGAAAAAGAAAAAGAAAAGCATCTCCTTCCAAGTTTGAAGGGTGGGTGGGTATTGTTAGAGAATTTAAATATTTAAATTACACTCTCTAACAGCTTAAGCTTTTGGAGTAAATGGTGGTTAACACAATATCAGATCATGCTAAGCCTTGAGTTCAAAGTATTGTCACCCTAGTAATTAAAATTAAACACGTCTTGAACCAAAAGAATGCCACACGTGAGAGAAATATGTTAGAGGATTGAAATATAAAAGTTACACCCTTTCTAACAACTTAATCTTTTAGAGTAGATGGTGATTAATAGGAATAACATTGTGCGAAAAAAACATCTGTCAATAAGTGTTTCACATCCCAACTTCTAATTTTAAGTTCACATATTAAAGTTCCATACGCTGAACTTTCTCACATTAAACCATCCACATCATTGCTTTGCCTGTCCGCATTATTTCAGAGTAAGATTAGAAATTTTCTATAACTGGTAAATGATTCAAACATGGTTTACTTCGTACCAAATTAAACGCAAAGGCCTAGAAATGGGAATCTTTTTTTTTCATAATTCTAGAAATGGGAATCTATCAAAATCATTATTTAAAATATATATATATATATATATATATATATATATATATATATATATATATATATATTGACAATGTATGACCTAATTAAGACTATCAATGACTTAATCAAAAGGCATGCAGGTTTTCTCGTGAAGCAAATAGGTTCTAATTACACTGAACCATTTTTCTAGGTCAGGCTTATGATATTATAGCATGGGGTGAAACATTACTCCATCCTTTCCTTGCCTTGGTTCCAATCAAATGGGTTGTTTCTTCACCAATTCTTTCACATACCGAGTTATGCATTTCTTATATCCATTTTCTTAAAAGATATCTTCTCGTTACTTCATCTATTACTAGTTTTGCTACCTCACTGACACTCACCTATTGTTTCGACAAGGTATTTCTTTTAAAATAAAAATAAATGTCTATACCACTTGAGCTTCTTTATCTTATTATATCACTAAAAGGTGCCACTCCAACTTCCTCTCCTCTTATAGTTTACTCTAATTTATTCATATGTTCATTCTTGTTTCAATGTTCTGAACCTAATGGAATGTCAGCAGTGGGATTATAGCAAATTTGATCAGAGTAATCAGTATGTATACCAGTACTTACAGATATTTAAAATTCATGGGGATGAAGATAAGTTGTTGTGGTAACCAAAATCTTTTTCTTTCAAGGCAGCTTGAGAGGCTTCCAGAGTGAAGAGGCAAGAGGTTTTCTGGTATGGTTTAGGGTGGAATGGAGGTAGACCAAGGTGGTCCATCCAAACAGTTCTGGTCTTAAACAATGCTGCTATAACCAGTAACTATTTACAGAAAAGAGGCATCTCATTAGCATCCATCTGTTTTATATGCTTCAATAATGAGGAGGGCATTGATCACTTATTTTGTAGTTGTGAGTTTGCAAGGCAAGTATGGACTGGCCTATCAGAGATTTGCCATTGGAATTTGCAGGAACCTGATACAAATCTGGGGCTGGCGCAGCAATTTGTTCACAAATTTTCCTCCAAGAGCAGTAGGAATAAAATGTCCAGAATGATATTCTCTGCTGCTTTGTACTTCCTATGGACCGAGAGGAATGAGAGGTTACATAAATCTCAGCATAGAGATCCTAGGGAACTAGTGAAACGTATCATTTGGGAAGTTTCAGATGTCTTTGGGGTATGCCTCCAAGACATGATCTCCTAGTTTTTTATTTATTTCAAGGACAAAAAAAAAAAACTAATGGATTGTTACTGCCATCTAGAGGAAGCATTCATGTAAGAATTCCACCTAAAGAGCTGTAATATAAAGCACTTTATTGAGCCAATGCTGTTGTAATGAAAAAGGTGTTTTTATCACTGGAGCTGTCACAAAATTGTTGTTATTAGAAAAATCTATTGCTTATTTGTTGATCCATTATATAAAGTACTTTTCACAATTAAAGTATGTTTTAATTAATTTGGTAAATATTGTTTAAAACAACAATTTAATTACTAATTTTACAATAATGTCTTATAATGGAGTGTTATTATCTTTGTAACAAATGATAACTTTGTTTTTATAAAAAATAAAAATGAATAAAATTGTCTGACAAAAAACAGCTACCTACAATATAACAACTCTCTGACAAAGCATTTTCAAAATATAGAAACTTTAGCTTTATTCAAAATCTCTAACATAGAAAATAAAAATAAAAATAATATATATATATATATTAAAATAATGGTGTTCTTGCCAGAAAGAATTGCAAAAATCCAACACAGATAAGTGGTAAAAGCATTTAAAGTTATTTATTTATTGATTGATAATGCTTTTATATAAGACCCAGCGCCACTTTTTTTCCTTTACTGAGAGAGAGGCATGTCAACATGAAAGAGAAAAATACCATTCTGCGATCACATTCACAATAGAGAGATTAAAATATATATATATATATATATATATAATAAAAATAAAATAAAATAAAGAAAAATTGAAAGTATAATAATAATACATTAGTGGAAAAAATAATAATAATAATTTTTTTTAAAAAAAGCAGAGGCTTTACCTTGTGAGATAGTGGGAGTAGGTAATGAAGGGCTCCTCATTAAGAACATCCATCCTGTCAAAAAAATAATAATAATAAAATAAAATAAATTTAATAAAATACGATACATCGTCACAAAAAACAGAGGATGAATAGCAGAGCAGTACTGATAAACTACCATACACGTGCGAGTGAATTTCCCTTCCTTTCCGTGTCCAATCCCTCTACTTCTATTCTTCCTCCTCCGTTCCATCAGCGGTCACCAGATCCAATAGGGAAACCGATGGAAAAATGATAGATCGAAATAACATAAGCGATCTCTTTTCTCGTCCTCTTGACTGCAAATCGAAGGGAAGGGCATGGGTCGAAAGAGTGAGAGGGCATCTGTTTCTTTTTCAAGGGGAAGAATAGGTTTCCTAGCAGCCACCAATGTAATAGAAAGTCTGTTGTCACGGGAAGCTCAAAAATGCATTGCTAGATTTTTGTATGAATCTGGCATTGATTTTAGTGTTGTGAAATCTCTTAGCTTCCAGAAAATGATGCGACACTAACTTGTGGTGAAGCTGGATTTAAGATACCCATTTCAGGGGTTGAAAGGGTGGATCCTCGCGGGAGAAGTAAAAGAGATGCAACAGTATGAGAAAGAGATCAGAGATTCATGAAAAAAAACACCGGATGCAGCGTTATACTGGACGGATGGATCAATGGGAAGGGTCGAGACCTGATCAATGTTGTAGTGGATTGATTGACCGCAAGGACCTATTTATCTTCGGTCATTTGATATTTCAGCCTATACTGGAATGGTTGATGAGGACCTTACAGTTGTTTCTTGGATGAAGTTCATAGGGGAGGTTAGGGTTCTGAATGTGGTACAAATCGGGTTACATATCCTGCATCTGTCTGGATGGAGGTTGCAGGTAAGGTATTTATGGAAAAACACAGAAAATTCTTTTGGTCAGTGAGTGCAGTGATTTCATTGCATTGCACTAATATTAGAGAAAATTGAAGCTATAGATGTTATTAAAGGGGTATTGGAGAAGGCCAAAATCATTGCAAAATCATCTCTTTACGGTCATGCGGCAGTTTGATTCTTCTGCGATGCCATTAGTTGTGACCTAATTAAGCCCTCCAAGATTAGGTCACCATTGCCGATTACCTTCTCTTCTTCTTCTTCTTCACTCTAGAGACGATGGTTTCAGAGAAGACGAAACTAGAGAAACAGAAACTGTTTGTTTAGGTGAGCGATGCTCTTCTTCTGACGTATATATCTACTGTACTGTGGTGGGTTGTTGCGTTTTGGACTGTGGTGGGTTGTCGGATAGTGGGGTAGGCTTTGGACCAGGGCTTACAAATCAACAAGTTGTTTCATAAAGGGCTTGGCCCGTCTAAAATTCGGTTTTTTTTTTGTTTTTTTTTTTTTTTTTTGTTTTTACCCAGTTATATTATGTTTTGTATTGTTTGTGAATAGAGGAGGTTTTGTGAACACAAGTTCGTTTAGGGTTCTTGAAAACGTTCATACACATAAATTTATATCAATTCATGAACATTATGCTCATAAACAAGTCAAAAAAAACTTTAAACATGAACTCGAATGTTATAACTAAGCCCACGAATGAGAGCCGAGTTCTTCAAGTCCAACACGTCTCAACGGTTTATTTGTTTCCCTAATTTGGATTATTCGAAGAATGAAAAATAAAAATATGAAAGGGAGAGAAGGTTGTGTTATGCAGACTGTACAAAGCATTTTAGTGGGATTATCTCATAATCATGTTGTATCAAACACAATACAACACGTCAAAATCTACAAAAACAGTACATGACTAATATACACTTAAATAAAAATATTCATTTTTATATATTTTGAATAAGATATTTATAATTTATATGCTAAAATTACATAAATTAGATAATGAAGCTAATCAAATATCAAAACGAGTATATTATATTATATATAATATGGTTCATTGCGTACAATGACGTATTTTGAGTGTTAAATTTTTCAATATTATAATGTAAACGGATTTCTGTAAGACGAATACTGGATGACATGTTGATTGAGTATCCAAAAGTGTCAAACCAAGTTTCTATGATGCGTTGATCAAGTCTTTATTCAAAATGTGTCGTTAAGTGTCAATAATAATAAAAAATATTTTAAAATTATGGACAAGGCTATCTCAAAAAGTGTCGAATACAGCAACTTTGTAACAGCGTATGATAATGGATTCAAACCATGGAGTTTAAAAAATAAAAAAGGTAGCTCAATGTACGAGTTGCATACCATTATTACCATGAAATTTTATTATACAAAAGGACAATTTATTTTTCGTTTCAATTCTTTCATGGATACATTTTTTGTTTATCTAATTTTCAAAATCCCAAATGGGCATTATACAATGGCCTAATTGATTCAACTCTTAAGAGAGAGACGTAGCAGAGTATGTGAGATATGGCGACTTTTAACAAAAGATGTTGGGGGTAATAGTGTAAAAAATTTCAAGACCAATTTTACATTTTATAGTTATATAATTCAAAAATTATATATTATTAGGTATATAAACAAAAAGGAAAAAAATTCATGAGCCTAAATTAGGTCCATGCGTGACATGTTCTAATTCCCCACCTAATTCGTCGTAACACAATGAAATAATCTTTTATTATTATTCAGACTCTCTAATAATTGGGCAAATTAATGTCATCCGTAAATGCGTTTTTCTTTATTATTATACAAACCCTCTAATAAATGGACAAATTAATGTTATTCATAAATGCATTAATTAATACATAGTTAGCCGGTAGATAGTGTTTCGTCCACGTATTAATTAATTATTAATGATGCCAGTAATAGTTAGTGAGTAGACAACGTTTTTGTTAATATGGCTAATAAGATTGTAGAAAGATGTTTGACTGATAGTTGGCTATTGCAATTTGCAACACTCATTAATTGCATCCTTTTGCCTTAAAAATTCAATATAATTTGAATATAATTGGTTCAAAGTTCAAAAAAACTAATACTTCAATATTTTAAAAGTAATGCTCTGAAAAATACTTGTTCATCATGAATTTTTCATTTTGGCATGAGAATAGTGCAGTTCTATGATTTAGTTCTAAAATCTTTTGAAGTTGTTTAGAGAGTCGTAAAGTATTGTAGAGGGTGTTGGAATGTTTTAAAATATTAGAAAGATCCTAGAGAAGTATAATTTTTTAATTTGTAAATATCTATAATGTAACTAGAGACGTCTAAATAGGTGAGGGGTCGTTAGTAAACAAACAAGTCTGTGAGGGAGCCTTGTACACTTGAATAATAGTAGCCTGAGTGTGCAAACCGAGAGAAGGGCTTCCTCGGGTAAAAAAAAAAAAAAAATCATAATGAAACCATTTTTTATTATTACTTTAGTCAACACAATAATTAATTATTCTAACCCAAAAAAGAATGTGCTTTTTGGGGAGTGAAATTTTTAAGGGGACATGTGGGCTATGTATTGTCACTTGCCCTTTTAAGTTTTGAATATTCAAGTTTGAAATTTTAAACTCTAAGGACATATATAGAAAGATGTAAAATATATTATTTGAAAAAGGAAAATAGATAATTATTTATTTTGGGACAACCCAAAAAAGGAAAAATGGACATTTTTTTTGGGACAAAAGGATTATTAATAGTGTTAGCAATTGTTCCGTGTTCGAATTCCCCAACCTAATTCGTCAGAATAAAAATAAAAAATCACAATGAAATAATCTTTTCTTATGATTCAGACCCTCTAATAAATGGGCAAATTAATGTCATTCGTAAATGCTTTTTTTAATTTACTATACAGACCCTTTAATAAATGGACAAATTAATATTATCCGTAAACGCATTAATTAATACTATGGCCAATAAGATTGTGGAAAGATGTTTGACTAACCATTGGCCATTGCAATTTGCAACACTCATTAATTACATCATTTTGTCTTAAAAATTTAATATAGTTTGAACATAATTGGTTCAAAGTTCAAAAAACCTAATACTCCAATAATTTAAAAGTAATGCTCTCAAGAAAACTTGTTCATCGTGAATTTTTCATTTTAACTAATAAATTATTATTGTATTAAAATAAAGTTAATTAATTTGATCTCTTGTAATTGCAAAAGGTTACACCACGCAGGCAACAAGCGAGTGCTGAGGCATGACATGCGAATATTGCATTTCTATGATCTAGTTCTAAAATCTTTTGAAGTTGTGTAGAGAGTCGTGAAGCATTGTAGAGAGTGTTGAAATGTTCTAAAATATTAAAAAGATTCTAGAGAAGTATAATTTCGTAATTTTTAAATATCTATAACGTAGCTAGAGGCGTAAAAATAGGCGAGGAGTCATTCATAAACAAACAAGCTTATGAGAGAGCCTTATACACAGAAATAATAGAATTATTATTCATCTGAGTGTGCAAACCGAGTGCAGGGCAATGCAACCATTTTAAAATTATTACCTATGCGTGCAAATTAATGTCATCCGTAACGCTTAGAAAGTGTGAACGCATTAATAAACCGTAACACATTAATGAATTACTAATGTTACTCGTAATACTAGTACTATTTACTCAGCGCAATAAATAATTACTCCATTTATCTCAAAAAGAATATATTTTTTTATTAGAGAAATTTATAAGGGGACATGTAGGCCACTTGCCGTTTTAAGCTTTGAATATTGAATATTAAAATTTTAAATTCTAAGAATATATATGAAAAAATGTAAAATGTAATGTTTGAAAAAAGAGAGTGGACAATTATTTTAAGACAACCCAAAAAGGAAAATTTGACATTTTTTTAGACAGAAGGAGTATTAATAGTGTTAGTGATTTTTTAGAGAATACAATTTAACGGTAAATTTTGAATATTGAACATTAAAATTTTAAATTCTAAGGACATATATGGAAAAATGTAAAATATAATGTTTGAAAAGAGAGAGCTTACAATTATTTTGGGACAACCCAAAATGGAAAAATGGACATTTTTTTAGTCAGAAGGAGTATTAATAGTGTTAGTGATTTTTTAGAGAATACAATTTAAGGCAATAATTAATTACTCATCTATCCCAAAATGAATGTCATTTTTGGATTGGAAAAATTTGTAAGGGGATATGTGGGCTATGTATTATCACTTGCCTTTTTAAGTTTTGAATATTGAATATTCGAATTTTAAATTCTAAGGATACATATGAAAAAATGTAAAATATATTGTTTGAAAAAAGAGAGTGGATAATTATTCTGGGACAACCCAAAAAGTAAAAATGGACATTCCTTTTTAGACAGGAGGAGTATTAATGGTGTTAGTGATTTTTTAGAGAGTACAATTTAACCAAATAATTAATTACTCTATCTGTCCCAAAAAGAATGTCCTTTTTGGATTGGAGAAATTTGTAAGGGAACATGCAGGTCATGTATTGTCACTTGCCCTTTGAAGTTTTGAATATTGAAAATTGAAATTTTAAATTCTAAGAATATATATGGAAAAATATAAAATATATTGTTTGAAAAAAAAGAGTGAACAATTATTTTAGGACAACTCAAAAAGAAAAAATGAACGTTTTTTTTTAGACGTAAGGAGCATTAATAGAGTTAGTGATTTTTTAGAGAATACAATTTATACATTGTTCAAAGTTTTTTTTTTTAAAAAAAAAAAAAAAAAAAAACTAGTACTCCAATATTTATCACTTATTCATCATTTAATCTAAAGCATGTAATTTTAAGAAATAGTGCTTTCAAGAAAACTGATTAACCGTGCAATGATATTTATTACTTATTAGTAAAACTGATATTCAACAAAGCAATTAAAAAAATCATTTTCTCAAATAGTAATTAAATTTTATTATTTTAAATAATTACATTTATATATTAATTAAAATAAACGGATTACAAGATTAAATAATGATAACAATTTATAAAATCTTTAAAGTAATAAATCAAAAATCATTCTATAAAACATAAATAGCAAAATTTTAAAATGAGCAATGAACATAAAATTTACACTAGTTAAAGTGATAATAATAATAATTTTTAATTGAACTTCAATAGAAATTCAGTTATTACTCCTAAAACAATATCAAAATCAAGAATATTTTTTTATTACAATTTACTAATATTTTTTTAGTAACAAATAATATTCAACAAATACAAAATTCTTACAATAATAAATAATTAAAAAATATTCTATAAAACATAATAAGCAAAACTATAAAATGATTAATGAACATAAAATGGACACAAGGTAAGA